TGCTGAGGTTCACGTGAGGCACAGAGCAGGAGTGGTCTCTGTGATGCTTGTTACCATTGCCAGAAATGCCTGGTACATCTCATGCTCCCTTAGAGCCACTAAGAACGCACAAAGAGATCAGTCAGGGGTCAGCACCCTGGGAGTTCATACCCAGCATACCTCCAAGCTGCAATCCCAAAGCCAAAAGATGTCACTCAAACTCTGACGTGCACGAGGTCCTCTGCCACCATTTGTCTCTGGCTCATGAGTTTCTCCACCCTACTGCCAAAAAAGGGGGCACCTAGAGCCCCATCTTCTGCCCGAAGTTCTTTCCCAACCCCAGCCTCCAGCCTGGACCCTTCTTGCACTGCAGACTGTCTAGAGAGTCAAACCAACACACAGATGGCTTCAAGTACCATAGAGAGACTGTTGCCTTGCAACTTCCTCCCTAATAAAAGAGTCTGGCTGTTGTATTACTTGGAAAGGATGCCTAGAGGTCTCTTAGAGGTCTCTGGTCCATCCCCTCACTCAAAGCAGGTATCTGATTGGGTATCTGTGTCTAGTCAAGGGTTCAGTATCTCCCAAAATGGAGATCCCACAAGCTCTTCAGACCCCCGTCCCATGGCTTAACCATCCTTATGTGGGAGAAAAAAAAAAAAAAACAACAAAAAAACCCAAGAAAACCAAATCCTCATCTGAATTCCTTAGATAAACTCCTTATTACATTTGCCTTTGCTGAACACCACTTCAGGACAAATGAGCCAGGCACCACAGCACTAGAAACTCACCCTAGGCCCAGAGGAAGGGAATGCAGCAGAAGCCTCCTTTCAGCAGGGCCCCATGGGGACAGGGTCCGTCTGTCCCAGAGCAAGAGAGGCAATGCAATCCACCTCCAGCAGCAGAGGAGGGAGTGGAGGCAAGGAGCTGTCTCACCCACATTCTCCCATGCCCAAAAACCAGGACTCTCCTTACCATCCAGGCACCCCCTCGGATGGCTTTAAACCCAACCTCCAAGCCCAGAAAGGTTTCACCCAACCACCTTCCCCAAGCTTGAGAGTCATGTGTAACTCAGCACAAGTTGACTGTGCTGTTGGAAACAGCCCAGCCCTCCCTATCCCCTGGACAGGGATCAAGGCCAGGATTGCTTCTTTCAGCAGCAGCTGACACATGCCAGCTCTAGCTGAGTGTGAAGCTCCAGGGGTTTTTCTAGATACCAGAAATCCTGTGTCGGGAAAGTCTGTGCTAACCAGCAGGCTGCAAGAGCCCCAGAGGCTTTTAACTAGGACTAAGGAGCTAGATCTGCAGCTCAAGTGGAAGGGCTCTCTGGCAGGGAGATGGGAGGCTCCCTTCATGCTCTTTCACTTCAGCACTAAACACTCCTCTCTGTCCCAGAAGCTTCAGCTCTCCACCACCTACAATCTCTAACAGAAAACGCACCATAGGGTAACCTTCCTGAAACCTAGGGCAAGGCGCTGATAAACTGGCTTTACAGGGACTTGGCCACAGTGACTCAGGTTCACATCACGACAGGAAGGACCTGGGAGATTCCCATTCCCCTCCCACTTTCCAGCCCACAGCTGGAAATGGCAAGTCAAAAGCTACCAGGGTTTGTTCTGGTTGACCAGAGCAAGCAATTCCTGTGTTACCAAAGCACAATCCAATTCCAATAAGCATATGTGCCCTGAGGAAAACAGAGGAGATCGTCTGGTTGGCTTTGTATCAGATCACTTATTCCTTTCCAGACTGATTCATTAGTGATCAAAGAATACAGACATTGGAGGCAACAAGGGTTAAAAAAACAACAAAACAACCAACCAACCCAAAAAAAAACCCCAACCCCAAAAAACAGCACCAACATGTGCCATTAGTAGAAAACCATTTTGCTCCTTATTGCAGTTCATGCTGTTTACAACCCCAGCTGGCCAGGGAAACATGCACCTTTCAGCAGGCCATTGGAACCAGAACAGCAGTCTTCACCACCCCCACCTGCAAGCTTGTGCTAGCACCTCCAGATCAGCTGATAAGACCTTGTTTTTAAACTCTTGCTCATGTCTGCAGCAGCTCACCAAATCCATTCTGCATCTGCCGTGCCTGGGACTACAGTGGAACACCATTAAAACCTGTTTCCAGGCTAGTGGAGAAAAGAGCTAAGCAGCTGGAACGAAGCCAGGACAAGCATCTCTTCCTAGCTTCAGAATCTGATTGGGAGTCTCTGCTCTATAAAAGACAGAGCGAGAGCCATTACCTTGCCCTGACAGCATGAAGTAGTATTAAAGCAGGCAGAATAATTCCCAGGAGCCAGTGCCTCTGCAGGCATCTGTCTCATGTGAGGGCCATGCACTGAATGTGCCTCAGGAGTATGGGAGATGGCCAGGACGCAGCCGGAACCAGCAAGTGCCCTGGAGCCACTCTGTGTAGCCTGAAGGGCTCAGGAGTGCCCCCACTCCCTCCACGGCATACCTGGGGCAGCTGCAAAGACCAGCTGACTACAGGCGGCAAGACTGAGCTTTTATTTCCAGAAGCAAACGGGTCTCGTAAACCGTAACAAGGCAGCCAAATTCACAGAGACAAAGCTCTACCTGCATAATAAGCAAAGGATCTCTTTTACCTCTGGCTCTGCCCGCCAGCTGGAGTTCTTTGAGGAGCTACATCGCTCTTTCCTAGCGAATCAAGCCTTTATCCAGCAACTCTGCCAAGGTCAAAATCCTGCCACGTGTCCTTTGTGCCCTGAGAGCCATTTTGGTATTTGGGGTTAATGCTGTTGTTCCTACCTGGACATTCCTCCAAAACAGCAGATGAGAGAACACGCGCTTCCTGCTCCTTCTGCCAATTACAGCAAAGCTCAGCCATGTTTGTTTACCCTGTGTCTGAGCTGGCCAGATCTTTGACCCGATGTGTGCTGAACACCACCCTCCTTCCTCTCATGCAGGGGCGGGTGCCTTCCATGTCTCCAAGGTGGCATGGGAGACGGGAGACCAAGGGCACTAGAGGAGACCCTCCCATGGAGCCGCAAGAGAGTGCCAGATGCCAGCTATGCGAGGCACAGGGAAGCCTGCGGCTGCTGGTAATGCGCTGCTGCCTCCCACCATTGTGCAAATGTCTCCCGGCTGCCTGGCCAGAGCATTCTACTGCAACGCCATCCCCCAGCCCTTCTTCAGACACCTCCTCCCAGCCGCATCCTCTCCCTCCCAGAAGCTTGCCAGCAATTGCCCCCCCCTGCCCCCCCACCTTCAGTAGGGTGCACCTCCGCTTCAGAACAGCTTAGTAAGCAGTTTATTAATGGGAGGAAGGTTTTAGGGGAAACAAGGCTCTGAAAGTTTGAGAGCCATTGCTGTATGCTGGGAGCTACCTCCGTCATCGTTCCTCCGGCTTTGTCTGGCAGCAGGAGGCACGCCCGCTGCGTATCCTTGGGACAAGCAAGCCAGAGAAACCCCTTCATCGCTCCTCAGTATCACCCCAGAGAAATTCTCTGCCCACCTGGCTAACTGTAAGCTCCCCAAGGAGAAAAGTTTTCATCAGCTCTGCCTGAAATTGCACTTCAAAGCGCTCCTTTGTTACTGAGAGGCTGGGCACCCTGCCCGTCCCAGTCACCGGATGGGAATCCTCCCCCACCCCACACCGCAGAGGAGCGGTACCTGGCTGCCTGCAGTGGCCTGTCCAGCGTTGGCACTCCTGGAGGCCCCAGCGCCGCGGAGAAGCGCAGGCCGCGGCGGCGATGCACGGCTCCCACGGCGTCTGCCGCGCTGCCCTCCGGTTCTAGCAGAAGCGCAGGCACCAGGCGCTCGGCAGCCAACCACACTGCAGCAGGGGGAGGGGAGGAGATGCAGCCAGGCTCCAGAAACAGGACGGTCGGACGCTCTCCTGGGAGAGCTGCGCACACGAAGCCCAGGGCTCCCTCCTCGGGGACCAAGGGGAGCACCAAGGAGCAGAGCTGAGCCCCCAGGCTGCCGCCGCACGCTGCCCAGGGGGCTCTACCCTGCCATCAGGCTCCTGCTCAGACAGCCGAAGTCACCCCTGCCCTACACCCGGCTAGATCTGCTCCATCCTACACTCGATCTTGTGGCGAAAGGTTTTACACCCTGTTTGGTATCACCCTTATCCGTGCCCCTGCTGCTGACCCCATCCCTCTAAAGCCAAGCAGGTGGAGCTGCAGGGAGCCCTCCAGCTGTGCGATTGCTATTGCTGTGCCCGCAGAAACGGCCAGATACAGGAGGAGATGGCCGGGAGTCCTACTGTGTCAGCACTGCGCAGTGCGGAGCTGGGCCCGGCACCGCCTGGAAGTGTTCGTTCACTCTCTAAATGCTTTACGCAGAGAGAGGACAAACACCACAGCATCGCTGCGTCCCACGTAGCCAGTGGATTGCTGCTACAACCACGGTAGCACGTAACCCTCGCAGTGCTCTCTACGACATTTCGTGAGCCTCTGGAGGCGTGCTGTCCCCAACTCCCTACACCTGCCCGAGCCAGTGCTTCACCCGGGGTTCCTGTCCCTCCCCACAGGTTGCCCCAGAGGGAGAAGGGCTCGGGGTGTCCCAGGAGGGAGCCCAGCCGTGTCGACACGCAGGCTCTCTCTTGCCTCATCTCACAACACGCACTTTTGCACTGAAGCACCTGACTGTTCTCCCTTCCCTAGCTCTGGAGGGCAAACCGGGCTGGCTACGGGGCACACGCGGCTAGGGCACGGTTAAAAAAAAAAATCAAGCAAGTTACGTAGCAGGAGCGCAAACACGTATTATTTATCTTAGACTGAAAGCCATTCCTGGCAGTGAAGACACAGCCTAATTATAGAGCCGTGAATCCCGCAGGCTGTGCCCACGGCACCCTGGAAACAGCCACGACCGGGGCTGCAGGCTGCGCCCCCCTTGTCGCAGCCACACGCCCGCCTCCCTCGGGGGCTCCCGGCCCCCGCCGGCCCTCCCCGCCCGGGGCCAAGAGCAGGGGCGGGGGGCCCCGCCTGCAGGCAGG